CCCTCTTCCAGGCCACCTCTCTGCTGTGGCCAGGGAGTGCAGTGGAGGATGGCCCAAGTGCTTGGGCCCTGCACCCCATGGGAGACCAGGAGAAGTACCTGGCTCCTGCCATTGGATCAGCGTGGTGCGCCGGCTGCAGCGCGCTGGCCGCGGCGGCCATTGGAGGGTGAACCAACGGCAAAGGAAGACCTTTCTCTCTGTCTCTCTCTCTCACTGTCCACTCTGCCTGTCAAAAAAATAAATAAAAAAAAAATAAAAAAATGAATCTTAATAGAAAATGGAACAGGAAAGGGAGTGGCAGGTGGTATGGGAGTGTGGGTGGGAGGGGGTGGAAGAAACACCATATCCCTAAAAGCTATACATATGACAATTTATATGCATTAAATAAAAACCTTAAAAAAAACCAGATGAGCAACAGAAAACAAGAATCTTAAAGTACTAATCATAATTACATTTAAAAATATGAAATACCTAGTATTAATTCAAACTGAAGATGTATGAAATCTGAACACTCAAAACATGCTCCACATGGATGTAGAGATATCTCATGTTCATGGATGGGAAAAACTGACCTTGTAAAAATGTCAATTCTCAGGGCCGGCATTTTGGCATAATGGGATAAGCTGCTGCCTACAATGTCAGCATCCAATATGGGTGCCAGTTTGTGTCTCAGATGCTCCACTCTGATCCAGCTCCCTGCTGTAATGGCCTGAGAAAGCAGTGAAAGATGCCACCCACACGGGAGACCCAGAAGAAGCTCTAGGATCCTGGCATCAACCTTGCCCAACCCTAGCCATTGTGGCAATTTGACCAGTGGATGGAAGCTCGCTCTCTCTCTCTCTCTCTCTCACTGTAACTCTGCCTTTCAAATAAATAAATCTTTAAAAAAGGTCAATTCTCCAAAAAGTAACCTATACACTTACTGTAACCCCAATAAAAATGCCAAGACAATTTTTAAGAGCCTGATTAATCACTTATATGGTACTATAAAGAGAGTAACCAGCTCTCTATGGAAAAGGCAGGATGCGGTGTGTCTCCCAGAAAGCGGTACTAACGGGATCACAGCAAGAGAGCTAACAAGCAAGCTGAGCGCCGGGAAACAGAGCCACACGTGCAAAGGCTCCTGACTCACAACTAACAGGGAACCTTTTACACGAAGGATGCTGGACAACTGTGTGCAAATGTAAAACCTCCCCATCTCTGTTATACCACATACAGAAACTGTCTTCAGTGGGACTCCATCTCTAAACAGAAAGACAAATCAATAAAGCCTTTCAAAGATAATAAAGATTACCTTTATAACCTTGGAAGAAAAAATCTTAAACATGACCCATAAAATATTAGTCTTAAAAAGAAAAACTTTCTCTTTAAAAATCAGCCTACATTAAAAGTCATCAAGACACTTTTAACAAAGTAAAAAGCAAAGCGCAGAATGTGTAAGAAGACATTCACAACACAAGTAACCAATAAAGGCCCTGTATCCAGAATTCACTAAGAACTTTTGCAGTTCTCAGACAGGAAGACAACCCAACCCAAAAAATGAGCTGGAGCTTCAAACTGACCCTTCACAAAAGAGAATAACCAAGGGTCAATATTTATATATTACACACATTAGAGTCACAGCACAGAAGCCAAATTAAAAAGCAAGGACACATCCATTAGAATGGCTGCTATTAAAGAATACTACGCTGCAAATGCTTGGGGTAGGTGCGATTACTTAGAAATTCTTTTTTTTTTAAACAGGCAGAGTGGACAGTGAGAGAGAGAGAGACAGAGAGAAAGGTCTTCCTTTGCCGCTGGTTCACCCTCCAATGGCTGCCGCAGCCGGCGCGCTGCGGCCTGCACACCGCGCCGATCCTATGGCAGGAGCCAGCTACTTCTTCTGGTCTCCCATGGGGTGCAGGGCCCAAGTACTTGGGCCATCCTCCACTGCACTCCCGGGCCACAGCAGAGAGCTGGACTGGAAGAGGGGCAACCGGGACAGAATCCGGCGCCCCGACCGGGACTAGAACCCGGTGTGCCGGCGCCGCAAGGTAGAGGATTAGCCTAGTGGGCCGCAGCGCCGGCCCACAAACTATCTTATTCATCTCTTTCACCACATGCTAATACTCTCAAATTTAGTCACCTAGTGACACTTTGGCTATTCTTTGTAAACACTTTGGCTATTCTTTGTAGACGTTAATATACTGTTCTACTCTCCACTTTTTCTAGGAATGATATTCTGACAGAAAAGCTTTAATTATCTGATTTGGATCCAAATCAAATAACTAAAGAAAGCAGTGCATATTAAGCTTCCCATGATGTAAATAAACATACTGGAAGTCAAATGCTTTAACATGGAGGATCTAAATGAACATACCCTATTTGAAGGAATGCTTAGTTGGGCCTACAACTCCCATTTCCTCCTAAGGTTTAAGGAGGTAAAAATGAAGGTAAGAAGATGCACCATCACACATCACAATGCGTAAGACCCAAGATGAGTACCTGATTTAAGTTCCCACAAAAGCTCATCACGTAGAAAGGAGTCAGGAAAGAATGGCAAGGCATGACTGATGGGCACAAAGAAATGCAACACTACAAGTCAAAGCCAGCTGAAGAAACAGCTCAGAAACAGGCTCCTGGAGGCGGCCAAAGAATGGCTGTTCCACCCTTAACAAAGCCGGTTACTGTGTAGAGAAGGACACATATTACTCTCAGGAAGGGAGGTCATGGTACTTTAGGAAAAACCAAAGAACGTGCACACACATAAACGGGCACTGTCCCAAGGGCTGACTATGGAAGGCAGAGGAACCGTGTGCCAACTACACAGAACTGTCTAACAAAAGCACACATCTCAGAATCCTCATGAAGAAACTTCTCCCCAAATACCCAAGACAGCATGTCACTTGTGAGAAGTCATAAAAACAAGAAGGCGGTGAACTAGAGGATTAAACTTGAGGAGTCTGCTCCTGGTAGAGAGGTCCTTAACCCAAGAGTTTTTGAGAAGAGAGGTTATTTTATTTTGTGTGGAATTGTATTAGGTATCCAAGCTTGTTCAACAGTCACATCCAAGGGCCTGCAGTCATGGCTGCCTAGATAATGAGGCGCAGAAGCCCATTCAATATGGCCAGTGTGTGCGCACATATATATGTTTATATCTTGCACATAAACAGGAGTGGTCTTCACCGAACACTTGTGTGCAATGTGCTGACACAGCAGTTCATATGGACTGTAATGCAGTGGTTCTCAAAGTGGAGGGATGTGGTCGTGTCCCCAAGACCATGTCAAAGGAACTGAAGTATCAAAACTATTTTCATAGTGGTAGTAAGATACTATTTGCCTTTTTTACTTGTTGCCATTTACGTTAATTATATAGAAGTCATTGTGGGTAAAACTGCTGGTAACGCTACGTCAGTCAAGGCAATGGAACCAAACTCCAGTCAGTCACGCTCATCTGCGCTATCATGCACTTACAGCTAAAAAGTCCGTTCTGCTCCACATCGCTGATCAAGTGTAAATCAATCACTGATGTCTAACCACCGACCTCACCAGCTGTTAGTGCCGGTGTGACAAAGCCGAAGCACGCACAAAGCACCTCTGCTTTCTCGGGAAAGAGTATTTGTGGAACTGCAGGAATGGTAAGCTGCTACAGTAATCGAATCTGGAGTGTGGGACACATTTTCTTTGAAGTTGTGTGAAGGGAACCTATTATTTGAAGTGAAACATTATTACATTTGCTGTCAGTGATAAAACTTCAAGCTTTCAAACAAATATTAGAATACTGAAAACATGTAATTGCCCTGTGGGCTTGAGAGCTTCCCACACAGTGTGAACGCCCCAGTCAGGGCTCAGTGAGGAGGGTAATGCAGGCTCATGTCAGCAGGGCAAGCAGATCGAGCACAGCTCTGTGGTGTGTGGTGCTTCCTGCCACAGAGCACTGCTGGGCGACCAGGGAGACCAACACTGCCACATGGGATGTTGCCTCATCACTCTTCTAGCATCAACACCAGGAGGAGACAAGATCAAGAGGGAAGGCAGACACATGACACACAGAAGCTATCCAACCACCCCCAAAGTTGTACAGTCCAGATTAATAAGGTTTAGTCTGCTGGCAAGAAGTGAGAAGAGCGCTGCATCAAACCTGTGGCTGAATTTTGACTATGAAGAGAAACATTTCCAAACCAGCAAACAGTGACAAGATGCTGTTAAGGCAGCTGATAACCAGTAGGAACAAGAAGTCTGACCTGGTGGAGTTGAGAGGTCACTATTAGACAAAAAGTAAAATCACTTTGTATTTATATTCCAACAAGGTCAAGTTCCACAATGAAATGGCTCCACATAGATGGACAGTCTCTGAAATCAGTTTCTGTGCAGATGGGGTTCTTAGCTTTCTATCTCTCTACTCCTTTTTTTTGTTAAACCAATGGAATTGAAGACAGGCACCAGCAAATGAAGTCCCAGCATGAGCTCTCCTGTGGTATTTAAGTCTAGAACCAAGTGTATTCATGTGATCACTGCTACTTGCTGCTCTGTCTGACAAATGCTAAGCAGATAAGAGCCACACTTCCACATCTGAAAAGACATCATCAGGCCGTAGACACGAATGAATGGACAAATATGCATTACTAATGAAGGGAGATGCTCCAAGTGGTAATCAGTATTTCAAATAAAAAAGTGGAGGAGACTGCTGGCAACATAGCTGACAGAGCAGAAACTAATTTGATACCTTGATGCTTTCAACTTTCACCTTCTTAATGACTTAACCAAAGAAGAAATTCAAAAGGAGGCCTTTTTGACAAAGAGGGAAAAAAACAGTATATTTTAAACAGACATTGTACAGAGGAAAGAAAATGAAGAAGCTAAAGAAAGAGACTAAGAGAAGACTGGTCAAAAAGTGAGCCGGAGTGAGGCTGAACACGGAGGGTGGACAGGCATGAATGACAGACAGGGCAGACAATTCCTGGATGAATGGGAGACGATGATGCCGAGTGGCTGTGACACATTGCAATATTCATACATACCGAGACTGAACTGCGGGTAATGCTCATAAATCTAACTGCAATTAGTACAGGTTTCTGTGTTAGGAAGGGCATGGAAAGGAAAGCAGAAGGTTAGAGTGCACACGTCACAGCCCCATTAAAAGAGAAGGTTTCATCTTTCAATGGACTGAACATGTCCATCTTCCGTAGCATCAGAACACAGCACAGCTGGTCTACCTGCTTTAAGAGGTAGCTCTATAGTGAAGGGCCTCTCAGAACTGAGCCCCCAAAAATTCTCACTAAAGACAAGTTTTGCTTTTAAATGAAGTTTCTGTTTTCAGTTTTGGGGGGTAAACATATAGATAATATCACGTGATACATTTTATTTGATGCCTTTAACGTCTGTGCTCATTCCCATGTCCAGCCTACCTTTGGCAAGCCCTTATTCTGTGTTAGGCAGCTTCAACAGCAAGGGAGGAGGTGCAGCTATTTCAGCGCCAGCCCAGCAGGGGCTGTGAAGCAGGCTGGGCTCCTGGGAAGAAGGGCCCAGGGCTGGAGAGGCCGCTTCTCTTTACGAGCTCCTGGGGCCTGAAGCAGGTTTCACTGCAACAGTCTACTTCGATAACCAAGGAGAAGGGTAGCACGTGAGCAGAAATTACACTAGAGGGCACCAGGCAGTTACCCTTACCCCACTGATTATCAGCCAGTGAGACTGGAGTGATGTATATAGGTCATGGTTACAAAAGAAGACATTACATAAAAGTGAGCAAAAATGGAGGGAATGACTGTTTATGTAAGGCTTATCTCAACAGCCTATCATATATAAAAACCTTTATTTGATGATAGACTCATACACAGAATTCTATTTCCTTATGAATAAAATTATTTAGCTCAAATTCAGTTGCAAATGACTGAGTTCTCTCCTCTCCTGGCAGGATCAACACTAAGCATCTTGACTAAAGGTGGGACAGGTGGAAGGAAATAAAAAACAAGTCCAGGAAAGGATAATGGGGCAGATTATTAAACCACTCACATTGTATCCAAATGCTTGATTTAAAAAATTCTGCACCTTTCATCACACATATTCTGCACACATCCCTAAACAGAGCTAACAGATCAAGCACGTGGCACCATGAGATTTGGTGATTTTTGTTGTTGTTGTTTTTCACTTGCTCCTTATGAAAAAGATTCTGAGAATTCCTATTTACATCACAAATGCACTCTTAAACCCAGAAAGGGACCCACTTCCCCCTGTGATTTCCCCTCTTTATCTTACCATGGATCTACGAATCAGTGACAGCCTGGTCTTTGCCTTATTCTCAGCAAATTCCAGGCTGCTGATGTCTTTGAGACGAGCCTTGTATTTATTCATTTGTTCCACAACAATCAGTTCCACACAGCTGAAACAGGAGGCAAGGGAGAGAACTGTTATGAACAGAAGAAAACCACACGGAGTGTAGCACCCACAAAGTACTGTTCAGCTGAGTGTGGCAGACAGCTGAGGATGAATGGAAACCTCACTCTCTGAGTTCAGAGGAAAGGTTAGAATGGTGGTTTTCAACTACAGCTCTGCACCTGGGAAGCCACTGAGGAGTGGTGATAAGTCACACAGCCACACTACATTGCAGGATCAATTAAGTAAGGCTCTCTGGGGATGGGATCCGAGCACTGGTCTATTTTTAAAGTTCTTTTTGCAGTCAACATTAGGAAGGAAAGCAGAGCCCTGAGAGGAAAGATCTAGGTGAAAAACAGGAATCCTGAAGTATTCAGACCCAAGGACCACAGTGAGCATCAATTTAAGAAAATATCACACGTATGCAATTTGGTAAAAGAGAATTTAAAAATCTATTTGAAATCTCTAAGCAGCCTTAAAGAAAACTCAGATTTGAAAATCAGATCTTTTAAAGGTAAGGATGCTCAGTTGACCCCAATCTAAGCATTTTCATCTTCAGCCTAAGAATATGCAACAATGTCTAGCAATCACTGAAAGTGATGAAGTCGATCTCTATGCTTGATATGTGGATAAAGTGGCTACACCAACTCAGTAAAAAAGTCTCTGCAGAGATGGTGGGCTGGCCTTACGTGGTGGTCTTACTGATGTCCTGCACACTTTGCAGTGGATCTGTGGTGTCGGGACAGCGGAGAATGCAGGGTGCAAACACAATGGCCAAAGCATTAGCAGACATTCGATTTGTGTCCTCCTGTAGAGCAATCCTAGGAGACAAAACCAAAACAAGTGAAAGAGGGATAAAGATGGAGAAGAGCAGCCAGAAGAGTTGAGAGTGAGGACTGCAGGGCATTAGCTGTACAGGATGGAAGGGTATCCACATCAGTTTAAGGGAGCCACCGTAGACTTGCCCCCTTTCCCCAAAGTCCCTGGCTTGAGGGGCAGGCTGAGTCAGAGAGCTTACCAAGGGGACCTGACGCTCTGCTCCAGCCAACACCACTAGACAAACACGTCTAAGAATGCAGGGTAGATGCTGTGAGGCACGTCCAGACAATCATTTTAAGATATTTAACCAAAAACAAAGACTGCTTTCTTCCCAACTACTGCCGATATTTACACACAGAGGAAGAGGCTGCTAGCAAAGCATCTCTGCTGAGTCGGCTCCTGAGCACAATCCGATCCCACCACGCACGGCGCAGGTGTGTGCTCAGCTACACATTCTGGCTCAGGAGGCAGAGAGCAGGCAGAGCCACACAGTGCCACCACGAGGCCGAAGCTACCACGTGGCTCAAGCAAGGACACAGAGACGCAGTCCTGCTCCAATGAATCCTAACCGCCAGTCTGAAGCACTGACTTCATAAACAGAAGAAAGAGAAAACACAAACTGTCTCTGTCAGTTTTCCACATGCAGGAGCTACTCATTTACTTAAAACATCCACGAGGAACCATCACCCCTGCTCGTGGAAGTTACCTGACCAGGTGAAAGATGAGGCGCTCCAGTGTGTTGAGGTGAGTCCGAGAGAGCTGGTCGATCACAGAATACACCCCACGGATCGTCTCCTTCCTCTCCTGAAGGCCTGTGAACAGCAAGAGCAGCGTGAGACTGAGTACCCCTCCCAGGTGCCATCTTTCTCCTCCTGGAGAGAGCCAGGGAGCAGGGGAAGCTGGCTCTGGAGTCTGAGTGTTTCAGGAGAGGCAGCTGTACCTGCACAACAGGAAGACAGCAACCCACTGTTCCCATGGAGCTCCTTTGGCTCGAGTTCTGTGCTATAAGCAGTCTCCTCAGTTCTAATTTATGGCCCAGTCACCCCTGACTGCAGCAGGGGACAGAGACACTCTAGTTTCTCAGCCTTTCTGTGGCAGACAGATGTCCCACTACAATTAGCCAGCAGACAGACAATGTCTAAATCCTCCAGGCAGGCCTGTCTCACAGCCTACATAGCTGCAGCACTGAGAAAACACACACCAAAACTGGTCAAGCCAGCTCTACACACGGTTCTTGCCTAGACTCAGGATTTAAACCGTGTATCTCTTATTTGATCTTCTACTCCATTTAAAAACCCTAGTTGTCCAATCTCATCGTGACAAGCAATCATGTGACTTACTCAGAGAACTTCTAGAACACTACCATCTTAACGGTTGTAAAGTGTCAGCATTTTATTGACTGTGCACAGCTTCCCTTTGGATCTATAAGGCTGAATTCTTGGATGAGGGCTTAATCATCCACACTACAGATGGCAGGCATTTCGTCCCCAAACGTGAGCCTTCCCTGCAATCCAGAAAGCCTGTGCTCACCCATAGCTCGAAGAAATTCCTCGTAGAGTTCAAAAGTCATGAGTGGATTGGGCAAGTCCCGAAGCCATTGTTTGAATACACTTGCGATGACATGTATGTTATAGTCATCTAGGTTTACACTCTCCGCATCTGTTTAGAGAAGAGAATTAGAAAACAAAGATAAAACATGCAAACTTCACTTCAGAAACTACTCATTGAAAGAAGCCTTCATGTTTCTTAATCAAACTGACTGTGTTATCTCTTCCACATTCTAACTCCCCACTTTAGAACCATGTTACTATTACAGCAAATGTTTTCTAATTTTTTTGTGGCCTAAAGCACATGCAAAATAAAAGGTCATGTGTTTTGATGCTGAAGCACTGCTGAACTGCTATAAATGTTTCTTAGTACTTGCTCTCAGCTTCTGCCTTTACCTTGCTCTAGACTGGTCTGTAGATCACTTTGTGAGAAGTGCCTTAGAAGACAAGAGTAGGTGAGAGGGAGAGAGCACGTAAGTGGGGGTTGGGGTGCGGTAGGGGGAGGGGTAGTATTGTGATGCAATGGATTAAGCTGCCACTTGGGATGCCCACATCCCATATGGGCACTGGTTTGAGCCCTGAGTGCTCCAATTCTGATCCAGCTCTCTGCTAATGCACCTGGAAAAGTAGTGGAAGATGGTCCAAGCGCTTTGGCTCTGCCATCCATGTCCGTGGAAATCCAGATGGAACTCCAGCCTGGCCCAGCCCTGGCTGCTGTGGTCATCTGGGGAATATACCAGTAAATGGGAAATCTCTCTCTCTCTCTCTCTCTCTCTGTTTCTCTGTAACTCTGCCTTTTAAATAAAATAAATAAATTTAAAAGACAGAGAGACATACAAAGGATAAAATCCTAGAGACATTTTCTGAAAGTCAGGCTGCTTTAAGTCATCTTGTTCTTAAGAGATGAAAGGACAGCGACACGAAAACTCAGGAAACCTAACGGAGCATCTTTAACCTGTTTATTTTTTTGACAGGCAGAGTGGACAGTGAGAGAGAGACAGAGAGAAAGGTCTTCCTTTGCCGTTGGTTCACCCTCCAATGGCCGCCAAGGCCAGCGCGCTGCGGCCGGCGCACTGCGCTGATCCGAAGCCAGGAGCCAGGTGCTTCTCCTGGTCTCCCATGCAGGTGCAGGGCCCAAGCACTTGGGCCATCCTCCACTGCACTCCTGGGCCACAGCAGAGAGCTTGCCTGGGAGAGAGGCAACTAGGACAGAATCCGGCGCCCCGACCGGGACTAGAACCCGGTGTGCCGACACTGCAAGGCGGAGGATTAGCCTATCGAGCCACAGCGCCGGCCATAACCTGTTTCACTTACAAACTCCTGGAAGTTGCACAGCTTAGATTGGGAAATTGCCCTGGAATGACTCACTTGCTCTGCTCCAGTCCCTACAAACCAGAGCTGACTAGGTCTGTAGTTAGCAGAACCTCCTGCCTGAGGTCAGCTTCTGTTACTTCAATGCTAATTCATTTCTCAGAGATCAGTTAATAGGAAATAGTATTCTGGGTAGGTTCTAGGCCATACAAATACTAGCTTTGTATCAAAGTTTGGTTCAAAAAAGGACTATTCCTTTCTGACAGTGGTAAACAGAAGAGGTTAAGAGTGAAACCAAAGTCAGCTCCCTGCATAGAAACTTCAAGACTGAGGCCAGTCTCCTATACAAACATGTGTTCAGTTCACTAAGTATCAGTTTAAGTCACTAGTCGGCAGCCAGAGTGCCAGGTGGGTCAGAAAACTAACAGCTTACACTGTGAATTCAGAAGATACGGGATTAAATGCCAGTTTGGTCACTTCGGGCAAGACTCGTAAGCCTTGGCCTACTTTCCTGTAAGGGGACAGTACTTTCCAGCTCATAGAAATGCTGTGAGGATTATTAAGAAGCCACCGGTACAGTGTTGTGCAGCATCTACAGCTCACTGATTCTCTGGATCTTGCATTTCCTTCTTTGTAAAGCAAGGGTATCAAGATCTTACTGGTCAGTACAAGATTAAAAGAGGTGTGTCACAATGTCTTCAACAATGACAAAATCATTACGTTTGCTGAACTGCCCACATAAAAACTAAAGAAGCTTCAGAAAGCCACGACATGGCAAACAAGCACCACTGACTATAGGTGAAGAATCAACTAGTAAGGAGAACGTGAAAAGCATGATGGGGCTTACGTTAACACAAGCACTTGCAGTTGATTCGCAGGACACTGTCTTACCTGTATCTAGACCTTGCCGAAGCTCCTTGATTTTATTAGTGGAACCAGACTTCCGGTAGATGCCTTCCGTGTACAGCCCGTGCATCTCAATGTAGTTTATAAGCTTCTCCACCACCAACGGAACAGCTCGGTCTTCACTGGTCAAACGCGACAGCTCAACCCCAAACTGACGCGATGACAGTTCTGGATCATACTAAATGGAACATAATTTTTGTTGCTGAATGCACTCAAATATCTTTATAAACATGTTTAACCAATTTTTTAGGAGGAATTTTTACTTCCATAAAGTTCCATGAGGACAGTGAGAAGATCTGGGGGAGAGGGGTGGTTTGGGGGATAGCGTCGTGGCGTAGCAAGTTAAGTCCCACCTAAAGCACCAGCATCCCGTATGGGGACTGGTTCAAGTCCCAGCTACTCCACTTCCATGCCAGTTCCCTCCTAATCCACCTGGGAAAGCAGCAGAGGGTGGCCTAGGTGCTTGGGCCCTTGCACTGAAGTGGGAGATCCAGCCTGGTCCAGCCCTGGCCACCAGGGCTATCTGGGGAGGGAATCAGCGGACAGAAGACCTCCCCTCTCCGTCTCTTTCTCTCTTTAACTCTGCCTTTCAAATAAATGAATCTTTAAAAAAGAACTAGGTGAGAAAGAGGGAATCATAATTAAATGAGCGTAACTGAGATACAGTTTCAATTTGCTCCAACTGGAAATCTGCCTCCCTCCCCCCCCCCCCCCCCGAGTAGAGCATGGAGGTAGTGGCTACACACCACCGCTTCCTTTCCTGCCAAAAATGGTCCCTGCAGGCGTTTGCAGCCACAGGTGGCACCAGTGCTACCTCAGCTTCCCAAACGCCAACCAGAGGAGAAGCGGAGTGAGTAAGGAGCTTTTATCCCACGTCTCATACAAAGCAGACCATCCGCAAAGCCACTGGTGGAAAAGCACCCAGGAAGCAAGTAACTGGCTGCAAAAGCTGCTTGCAAGAGTGCGCCCTCTACTGGAAGGGCGAAGAGAATGCATCAGAACATGCCCAAACTACGGCTGTCTGTGAAATAATGGACTTCCTTTTCAGTGTCAACTTCGAGAAACTGCTCAGGACTTCAGAACGCATCAGCACTTCCAGCGTGAAGTGACAGGTGTTTTGTGAGAGGCACATGAGGCCTATTTGGCTGTCCTCTTGTATAATTTTCTTTTTAAAGGTGAGTACTTCTTTAAAAATTTTATTTTACTTGAAAGGCAGAGTTACAGAGAGGAAGAGGGAGAGGGAGAAAGAGAGAGAGGAAAACATCTTCCATCTGCTGGTTCACTTCCCAAATGGGCCACAACGGCTGGAGCTGGGCCAGTCTGAAGCAGGATTCAGGAGCCTCCTCTGGGTCTCCCACGTAGGTGCAGGGGCCCAAGGACTCAGACCATCTTCCATGGCTTTCCCAGGCACACCAGCAGGGAGCTCGATTGCAAATGGGCAGCCAGGACTCAAAGCAGTGCCCATATGGGATGCTGGTGCTGCAGGCAACTTAACTTGCTACAGCCGCAGTCCCAGCCCCTGGTTAGCCTCTTTGAAGGCACCAAGCTATGAGCTTTCCATGCCAAACATGAAACAACTGTGCCAAAAATCATCCAGCTAGCATACCGCATACACGGAGAACATGCTTTAAGAAACTGCTTCAGGGGTTAGGGTTATGGCACAGCAGGTTAAGCTACAGCCTGCAACGCTGCCATCCCATATGGGCACCAGTTCAAGTTCCTGCTACTGCACTTCCAATCCAGCTCCCTGCCAGTGCACCAGAGAAGGCAGTGGAAGATGGCCCAAGTGTCTGAGACCATTGCCACCCACGTGGCAGACCCAGGCGAAACTCCTGGCGGTGAACCAGATGATGGAAGATCTCTCTCTCACTGTTAACTCCGCTTTTCAAAAAAAAAAAAAAAAAATCCTTTAAAAAAATATAACCTACTAGAATGGGAAGTATTCCATTTTCAAAATTTCTTTCTCTTCTTTCTGAACATTAAATTTTTAAAACAATTTTACTTATTTATTTTCATTCCCCAAATGGACAGACACAACAGCCAGAGCTGAGTTGATTAAATACCAAGAGTTTCTTCCTGTTCTCCCATGTGGCTGCAGGGGCCCAAGCACTTAGGTCATCCTCTGCTACTTTCCCAGATATATTAACAGGGAGCTGGATCAGAAGACAAGCAGCCAAGGCCGGCGCCATGGCTCACTAGGCTAGTCCTCCGCCTGCGGCGCCGGCACACCGGGTTCTAGTCCCGGTCGGGGCGCCGGATTCTGTCCCGGTTGCCCCTCTTCCAGGCCAGCTCTCTGCTGTGGCCCAGGAGTGCAGTGGAGGATGGCCCAAGTGCTTGGGCCCTGCACCTGCATGGGAGACCAGGAGAAGCACCTGGCTCCTGGCTTCGGATCAGTGCAGCGCACCGGCCGTAGCAGCCATTGGAGGGTGAACCAACGGAAAAGGAAGACCTTTCTCTCTGTCTCTCTCTCTCACTGTCCACTCTGCCTGTAAAAAAAAAAAAAAAAAGGAAGAAGACGACAAGCAGCCAGGACTCAAACTGGCACCCATATGGGATGTTGGTGATGCAGGCAGTGGGCAGGCAGTGGCTTTATCCACTATACCACAGCACTGGCCTCACATTAGATGTGTTTTCTTTCCCTGGGTGTAAAAAAAAATACCTAAGTATATGATTGTGAGTGGAAAAACCAGTGACAGAAATCAGGTCTTGGCAGTTTTTTCATTTTCTTCTGTATGCATTTTTAATAAAAAATCTGGGGATGTAAAACATTAATGCAAATCAAAATTTGTCAGTGAACAAGTCTCAGCCATTTAATTTTATAACACAAACCTGTTAACTGTTTCTGGACAATGCCAGCATTTGGATTTTTCAAAAATAACTAAATTTCTTACTGACACTAACTACTAAGTAGCACTTGTATAATTTTCATCATACAGTAGAATCTGCAAATCTTAAAAAAAAAAGTATTTGGGTCTTATTCTATCAACTAAGAGAAGCCACCAGATAATTTTTTTTTTAAAGATTTACTTATTTAATTTCCTTAAAAGGTAGAGTTACGGGGGGGGAGGGAGAGAGGGAGAGAGGGAGAGAGGGAGAGAGGGAGAGAGGGAGAGAGGGAGAGAGGGAGAGAGGGAGGGAGGGAGGGAGGGAGGGAGGGAGGGAGGGAGGGAGAGAGAGAGAGAGAGAAAGAGAGATCTTCTCTTCACCGTTCACTCCCCAAGTGGTTGCAAGGGCCAGGGCTGGAACAGGCTGAAGCCAGGAGCCTGTGGCAAGGCTCCCAGGTCTGGGCCATCCTATGCTGCATTTCCTAGGTGCAACAGCAGGGAGCTGCACCTTAAATGTGTGTGTGTGTGTGTGTGAGTGCACATGCACACTTGTATGTCTCCCTCTGTAACTCTTTCAAATAAATCTTTCTTTATTCAAGATTTATTTATTTATTTATTTATTTAAGAGGTAGAGTTACAGACAGAGAGAGGGAGAGGCAGAGAAAGATCTTCCATCCACTGGTTCACTCCCCTAATGGCTGCAATAGCCAGATCTAGCCTGGTCTTTAGCCAGGAACAGGGAGCTTCTTCCAGGTATCCTACTTGAGTACAGGGGCCAAAGCACTTGGGCCATCTTCTACTGCTTTCCCAGGCCACAATAGAGAGCAAGATAGGAAATGGAGTAGCTGGGACACAAACCGATGCCCATATGGGATGCTGGCACTGCAGGTGCAAGCTTAACCCATTAAGCCACAGAGCTGGCCACTCAAATAAATCTTTTAAAAAATATTTACATTGTCAAGACATGAACTTGCTTAGGTTATTTTATATTTGCAACAGGAATACCACTTTTCTTTATCTTTTTTGTTTAAGATTTATTTATTTATTTGAAAGGCAGAATTACAGAGAAGCAGAGACAGGGAGGCCTTGTACCCGCTGGATTAATTCTGTTGTTTCTTTGCTGATTTTTTATTTGATTGGCTTGTCCGCTGGTCAAAATGGCGTGCGAAAGTCTCCCATTATTATTTATTGGAGCACATGTCTCCCTTTAGATCCACTAACATTTGTTTTAAATAGCTGAGTGACCTAGCACTGGGTGCACACATTTACTATAGTTTCATCTTCCTGCTGAACTGATTTCTTAATCATTACATAATGACCTTCTTTGTCTCTTAACAGTTTTTACTTTAAAGTCTGTTTGATGTGAGAATAGCTACTCCTATTTGTTTCTGATTTCCATTTGCAAGGGATATCTTTTTCCATCCTTTCATCAAGTTGTTTGTTTTTTAATTATAGCCTTCCACTTGAAGGGTAACTCCTTAAGGAAGACGTAAGTCTAAAGTTGTAAACCTCTGAAAGCAGTATTTTTTCAAACTGTACCTTGTATTAGTAGCTCATCTACAGTGAAGGTAAAATAGTTCCATGAAAATCAATTCAGTTATATATACACACCCTCCTATGTGTGTGTATGTGTGTCTGTTGGGTCATAATATAAAACATATTTCTTAATGTAGCTGTAGTCAAAAGCCTGAAAGTCATTGCCCTATAAAACCATCAAAGAGGACTTGACTTCCTTCCAAAGGACACAAAACACGAGGGCTGTTGTGGACTGCTGACAGTGACGTCTCCTCACCTTCTTAGAGCACTTGGCTGAGCTTTTCAGACAGCACTTCTTATGGCAGGCGTATTTACACACTGAAAAACAGGCGAGAATGCAGGGCTTTTAGGACTCTGCATACCGAGGACAACAACTTACCAGATTTACAACTTTATTTCAGAAGTCAGTTTTCTCTTTAAATCTGAGACTGTTATAAAATCATATACGTCCTTTGTGCTGTGTTAACAACTAAAAAGGATTTAAACGTGAAAGTGAAATGAAAGAGCATATCTAAGATTTCCAGTCCTCATGCCCCTTCCTCCCTTGCCCAAACTCCAGCCAAGACTAAATTTATGACTTGGGTATCTTAGTGATTTCACAAATTAGTGTCCATATTCCCCCACATATATGTGTACATAAGCCACAAACACCCATTATGATGTATTCTTAGGGGTAAGGAAAGCATCCCGGCAAACACTCTTACTGAAATGGAAAGGAAAAACAACAACAGCCTAGCACATTCAGACACAGGAAAGGTCCAGAACAGAGCTCTGAAAAACCAGGAACACAAAGGGCATTGGTTGTGATCAGGTGATGAGATGGAGAAAAGGATTTCTCTTAGGGTGGCAGATAACGAGGTGGCAGCCCAGGGTGAGCGTGGAGGGGCACACAGTGAGGATTCCTGGCAGGCTGGCTGCCACTCCGCTAATGCAGGTCTGGTCCTGCAGGCCACCACCTCAACATCCTTTCCTCGGCTTCTAGAATCTAACTCTCAGGGGCCGGCTGTGTGGCACGGTAGCTTGATCCTCCACCTGAGGCACCCATCCCGCATGGATGCCGGCTCTAGTCCCGGCTGCTCCTTTTCCAGTCCAGCTCTCTGCTATGGCCTGGGAAAGCAGTGGAAGATGGCTCAGGTCCTTGGGCCCCTGCACCAGCATGGGAGACCAGAAGAAGCTCCTGGCTCCTGGCTTTGGATCGGCTCAGCTCCAGCCATCGCTGCCACCTGGGAGAGTTAACTGGTGGATGGAAGACCTTTCTCTCTGTCTCTCCCTCTTATTGTCTGTAACTCTACCTCTCAAATAAAAAAAGAAAATCCTGGCCGGCGCCGCGGCTCACTAGGTTAATCCTCCGCCTTGCGGCGCCGGCACACCGGGTTCTAGTCCCGGTCAGGGCGCCGGATTCTGTCCCGGTTGCCCCTCTTCCAGGCCAGCTCTCTGCTGTGGCCCGGGAGTGCAGTGGAAGATGGCCCAGGTGCTTGGGCCCTGCACCCCATGGGAGACCAGGAAAAGCACCTGCCTCCTGGCTCCTGGCATTGGATCAGCGCGGTGCGCCGGCCGCGGCGGCCATTGGAGGGTGAACCAACGGCAAAGGAAGACCTTTCTCTCTGTCTCTCTCTCTCACTGTCCACTCTGCCTGTCAAAAAAAAAAAAAAAAAAAAAAAAAAAGAAAAAGAAAAAGAAAAAAGAAAATCCTTAAAAAAAAAATCTAACTTTCAGAGTTTCAAAGCCAAGATCAAGTAGGGAGGACATGTCATTACATTGGTGAAATCACCAGGATAATTAACAAGAAAGTTAGTTAATCCTATTAATAAATCAAATCAAACCCACCTCAGTCAAAAAAGCAAATTCTTTAAAGATTCAGGTATAAGTAAAAGAAGAAACTACAAAAATTAGACTAACAATAAACAGTCAAGCGAAATTCAATTTACTTGCCATTTTTACTCTCATAATTTTTTAGGCCACTGGTAAAAAGATGAAAGGAAAATTGCTTTGAACAAAGAGCAAGTGAACACATCCAGGAATGGTGGTGACTTTGCTTATAGCCACATGACATCTACCCTTGTCATGACACTGGACCCAGATCTTCCTAAGATTTCCTGCAGTCATTTCTGGTCATCCATTAACAGCGATACCCCACAGAGTGACTTCAAACACCTAAGTGGATGTGCAGAGAAACTGGAACAGAAGCTAAAGGCCCACTGTAAGCAAGAACCAAGCTGCATTACAAACAGTTCCTACTTACACTTTACTTTAAAATGTATTTATTTATTTATTTGAGAGGCAGAGAGAAGGAAAGATAGACAGGGCTCCCATCTAGTTTATTTCTGAAGTGCCTGCAACATCCAGAACTGGACCGGTCAGAGCCAGGAGAGGGAACCCAATCCAGGTCTCTCCTGTAGACAGTGGAAACCCAATTATTTTAAGCTACCTGCTGCCTCCCAGGGTGTATATTAACAGGAAGCTAGAGACTAGAGCCAGAGTTAGGATTTTTTTTTTTTTTAAAGATTTATTTATTTGAAAGGCAGGATTACACAGAGAGAAGGAGAGGCAGAGAGAGAAGGAGAAGCAGAGAGAGAGAGAGAGAGAGAGAGAGAGAGAGAGAGAGGTCTTCCATTTCTGGTTCACTCTCCAATTGGCAGCAACGGCCAGAGCTGCGCCGATCAAAGCCAAAAGCCAGGAGCTTCCTCCACATCTCCCACATGGGTACAGGGGCCCAAGGACTTGGACCATGTTCTGCTGCTTTCCCAGGCTATAGCAGAGCTGGATTGGAAGTGGAGCAGCCGGCTCTTGAACCAGTGCCCATATGAGATGTCTGCACTGCAGATGGCGGCTTTAGCCACTACGCCACAGTGCCGGCCTCCAGAGTTAGTATTTAAATCCATGTACATCAATAAGGGAGGCAGGCATTCAAAGCAATGTCTTAAGTATTAAGGTAACTACACACAACCCTCAACTTACATTGTAGGATTTACATAATCTAGAAAAAATACCTTTTTGGCTATAGCATAAGACATCGTTCGTTCGTTCATTCGTTCGATTGATCAATCTATCTATCTAACCATTTGCCCAACAAAAATCTATTAAACTTATTCTGTACAAGAACTGTCCTAAGATCTGCAGGTACTTAAGTTTCCTGACGTTACAGAGCCTACACTGTAGTGGTACAGACCAACAAAAAAGCAAACAAATGAATGCTTAATGTAATTTTGGATGCTGGTAAGTGCTATAAAAATACTAAACTGAGTAAGAGGATGGAGAAACGGGGTCAGTAAGCATTGTAGAACAGTAAGGAAAGCATTTTTTTTTTTAATTTTATTTTTTGACAGGCAGAGTGGACAGTGAGAGAGAGAGACAGAGAGAAAGGTCTTCCTTTGCCGTTGGTTCACCCTCCAATGGCCGCCGCGGCCGGCACGCTGCGGCCGGCGCACCGCGCTGATCCGATGGCAGGAGCCAGGAGCCAGGTGCTTTTCCTGGTCTCCCATGGGGTGCAGGGCCCAAGCACCTGGGCCATCCTCCACTGCACTCCCGGGCCACAGCAGAGAGCTGGCCTGGAAGAGGGGCAACCGGGACAGAATCCGGCGCCCCAACCGGGACTAGAACCCGGTGTGCCGGCGCCGCTAGGCGGAGGATTAGCCTAGTGAGCCGCAGCGCCGGCCCAGGAAAGCATTTTCCAAGGAAGCGACATAAGGTGGGGATGTGAAATCACAGTAAACTACGAGAGGGAAGATGGAGTGTGCTGCACATTTGACGTACTCAGTGATCAAGTAAAATCAAGACATCTGGTTTGGAGAGAGTACAGATGAAGGACAGTATTACGAGAGACAAAACTAAAGAATTGGGCATTGTGGGGCTGCTGTGGCACAGCAGGTTAACACCCTGGCCTGCAGTACCAACATCCCATAGGGGTACTGATGCGAATCCCGGCTGCTCCACTTCTGATCCAGCTCTCTGCTGTGGCCTGGGAAAGCCGTAGAAGATGGCCCAAGTCCTTGTCCCCTGCACCCGCGTGGCAGACCCGGAGGAAGCTCTTGGCTCCTGGCTTCACATCAGCTCAGCTCTGGCCGTTGCAGCCCATTGGGGAGTGAACCAGCAGATGGAAGACACCTCTCTCTCTCTCTCTCTCTCTGGCTCTACATCTCTCTTTAACTCTTTCAAATAAATAAAATAAACTTTTTTTTTTAAAGAATTAGGCAGTGTGAATTATGCCTTCATGTTAAAGAAGTTGTAAGGCTACTCAGGGAAACGACAGAAATGTCAGATAGTTAAGCAAATACTTCCAAGGTCTCTTGTACTTACATTTACAAACAGAGGCTCGGTCCATTATCCATATCAAAGAAGAACAGTATTCACAGTATGTAGGGATGCTATACTGGGTGGCCTTGAAGATGTGACCATTGTGCTCCTCCACCTGAATGAAAAATTTCAGCCGTTTACATGCAAGCCAACACAGGAAACACTGCCCTAACATAGTCAGCCAGTGGGAAACACTTCAATCCCATGCAGAGTCTTCACTAGGCACTCATTACCAGGGGGAGAATTATGATATTCTGAGAACTTAACAAAAATAAAGTACATGGTCCCTGCTTTCAAAAAGCAACATGATCAACTAATATGTACTAAGCACGTAACAGCTGTCTCATGTAACTCTGAATCAGCACTCAAATCAAAATCAGTAGTTCTCAAATCTGCTTTTTACCCTTGGGAATTTTATATACTCTTGAAAATTAATGATGGAAGAATTTCTACATACATATCTAACCAATATTTACTGTAGTAGAAAATAAAACTGAAAATGATTCACAGAATTTGTTAATTCACTTAAAATTAATAACGTTAAACATATTACATATGAACAAAATGACATTTCAATGAAAACCAAATGTCTTTAAAGCAAAAAAAAAATTAGTGACAAAAGGGGTATTGTTTTACATCTGTGTTAATCCCTTTAATGTCTGATTTAGTAAGAGAAACTCAGGTTCTCATACCCACTTCTACATGCTGTCCCTCGCAGCATGCAGTTTAGTTTGAACACATGGAGAAAACCAGCTTCACAGAGAAGAAAAGTGGAAAATGGAGGAATATGTTAGTAGTTCAGAAACGATATCACACCAAAACTATACAGAAGGTAATTTAAATGCTAATTAAAATGTGAAATTAACACCCATACCAATGAACTAACTATTCATGCTCTGAGACATTAAAATCTATTATTGTAGACTTCATTAAAACATAAATTCTAAAGACATCATTGAGAAAAAAAATAAGTCATAGACTTGGAGAACATATTTGCAAATCATATATCTGATGAAGGACTTGTATGCAGAACATACAAAGAAATCTTATAATTCAACAATAAGCTCAATTCAAAGGATAGACAAATATTAAACAGCTCACCACAGAAGAAATACAAATGGCCAATATGTAAAGGAAAATACATTTTAAAATGTATCAAATTAACACAATGATGAGGTACCGCTTCACACCCACAGAACAGTGGCACCGAGAGAAAGGACCCCTGCACCTCAGACACTGCGTGGGACTGCAAAATGCTACAGCCACTTAAGAAAAACAGTCTGGCAGTTTCTAAACATTTCATTTTTGTTTAAAGTTTACTTATTTATTAATTTACTTTCTTTTTTTTTTTTAATCTTTTATTTAATGAATATAAATTTCCAAAGTACGACTCATGTGTTACAATGGCTTCCCACCCCATACCGTCCCTCCCACCCACAACCCTCCCCTTTCCCACTCCCTCTCCCCTTCCATTCACATCAAGATTCATTTTCGATTATCTTAATATACAGAAGATCAGCTTAGTATACCTTAAGTAAGTATTTCAACAGTTTGCTCCCACACAGAAACATAAAGTGAAAAATAATAGATGATTTTTTTTAAATGATGATGAAATCAGATCAGACCTATTGTCCATTGTTTTAAATCCCCAGTGAG